GCATCAACAATATTTTCGATGTTAGAAATCAGCAAAACCATTCTTTTCTTTCCCACACTTTCTCGGCCACCAAACAAGTTGATTAAGAAAAGCTCAAGGAATGTTGTATCACTAGGAGTATAATTCATTTTTTTTATATAGGGAAAATTGCATAGCCGCCATTTTTGGTTGAACTCTATATAAAGACTTTCTATAAAAATTAATTTGGTAGATCTACTTGAAAAGACAATAAGTTTTGTAATTAGGGGCATAAAATATGAATGCATGTTGTTTATGTATAACCACTAATATATTATAGCACTTGAGATTAGTAACTTAGAGGTAATGAGTTATGATTAAGATATGATCAGGTTCGGTTTCCTCTAATGTAACTAATGTAACTTTAAATATTAGTAAAAACTAACCGTTAACTATAAAACAATTCGGAAACACCAAACAAGTGATTGTGCGGTCCACAAACTTGAGATACATAAAATTAAAAATTAAAAAATTAAAAAAAATTAAAAAAATTAAAAAAAACAAAAAAACAAAAAAAAACTCCACGATCGGGTTAGGTAAAACTAGAAACATGACATGAAATGATTCCCAATTAGGCCCAAAAGTTTTCAAGACCTAATATTATTACAGAGATTGAATTTTTATTTTATTTTTAAAATTTTTGCTAAGAAAAAGGAAATTACAAGTTCTTTCCTATTCTGTATGCAAAAGCAATTAATTATCTTTTCCCCTTCCACTTCAGATCCTTTTCGAGATCCCAATATAACTTTTACTATGTGTGATTGTGGAAGAGTAACATATTATTGATCAAAGAATTCATGCGTTTTTGTTTTGTATTCGTTAAACGCCTTTGAGAAATTCCACCCAAATCTGCAGAGCCTTGGCACTCTGTCTGCTCTGGTTGATTGGCTTGGAATTTGTGAAAAATGGAGAAGGAGAAGAAGTCTTCAGTGTCCGATGTAGGAGCGTGGGGCATGAATATTGTGAGCTCTGTGGGAATTATCATGGCCAACAAGCAGCTCATGTCCCCCCATGGCTTTGGCTTTGGCTTTGGTAAGTTCCTCTTCTTCTTCTTCTTTTAACTGTACTGTGTTTTCTTTTAATTTCAGATCTGAAGTAGACATCTTTTTTTCATAATTCATATTCACTTCTTCTCACCATTGATGGGTTTAAAGTATTTTGCTTTGTTATGAATTTTGGGTTCCGTTTTCAACCCTGAATATTGGGTTCCTCTCTAATTTCCCGAGTTCATTTTCATATGTTTTGTCTAATTTTATGACCTGAATTGGGGTAAAGTTGCATTCTTGCAGATGCCATATTTTTTTGTTTTTGTTTTTTTGTTTTTGTTTTTTTGTGTTTGTATTCTTAATTTATTGTTTCTGACACAAGGAGCCAAAATTTAACTAGATTCCAATATAATAATATTCCATGTGCGCTTGGACCATTATTTGCCACTCATGGAATTTTCTGTCATGGGTATAGCCCTTTTTTTTGACATGTCATTATTGCCTGTAGATCTAGCTACGTTTCAAAAGAAATTAAAGTTCAACATAATTAGGCTTGGATTATGACCTGATCTGTGTTTGCAAGCAAAAAAACTTGTAACGTGGAAAAGTTATCGTACGTGTCATTGTGTTTTTGGCTAGGGATAGCAAAAAGTGTTATTCCCGTTGCACGAGAGTTTCTCTCATTTGCAAGAGCATGCCTATGTCACAACACACGCATAAATTGAATTCTTTGGTAAATTGATTTCCTGCAATTGATGAAAGTGTATTTTTTTTTTTACTCCAGCTACAACTTTGACTGGCTTCCATTTCTCTGTTACTGCATTGGTTGGTTTGGTGTCAAATGCCACTGGCTACTCTGCTTCAAAGCATGTTCCTTTGTGGGAACTTGTTTGGTTCTCACTTGTAGCCAATGCATCAATCACTGGGATGAACTTGAGCCTCATGCTTAACTCTGTTGGATTTTATCAGGTGAATAACATTTTAATAGCCTAACCATTTTGCTTGAGGCAGAGTTGCCATCTGAGTTCAGACCTTGTTCTATGGTATTATCATGTAGATATCGAAGTTGAGCATGATTCCCGTGGTATGTGTGCTGGAATGGATTCTTCATGGAAAACATTTTGCAAGGGAAGTCAAGTTGGCTGTGGGAGTGGTGGTTGTAGGTGTGGGAATATGTACAGTGACTGACGTGAAAGTTAATGCCAAAGGTTTCCTCTGTGCTTGTGTGGCTATCTTGTGTACATCCTTGCAACAAATTGTGAGCACTACTTAATTTTTCTCATAAATTATTTATGCTATGAATCTGAGGGTAGGCATAAAAACCTTGAAATAATGGTTGACCTCTTACATTCTTATTGTTTGAGGAACAGTCAATAGGTTCCTTGCAGAAGAAGTATTCGATAGGCTCTTTTGAATTGCTCAGCAAGACAGCTCCAATACAAGCTCTCTCCCTTCTTGTTTTTGGTCCGTTCTTCGATTATTATCTTACTGGAAAAGTTCTATTGGAGTATAAGTTGTCTTCTAGTGCACTTGTAAGTGCTTCTTATGTATATTAATCTGCAATTTCTGAGTTTGTAGAAACAAAATTCTAATGAAGCTTTTGTGGAATGCAGTTTTTCATACTACTCTCCTGCTCCTTAGCAGTATTCTGCAACATCAGCCAGTACCTCTGCATTGGACGCTTCTCAGCTGTCTCATTCCAGGTTTTAGGCCACATGAAAACAGTGTGTATCCTGACATTGGGGTGGCTACTCTTTGATTCGGAGCTCACACTGAAAAACTTGCTTGGAATGGCTCTTGCTGTTCTTGGCATGGTAGTGTACAGTTGGGCTGTGGAGCAACCCAAGACCCTCCCTAATACAAGAGACAGTCTGTCAGAAGAGGATCTGAAACCATTGAAGGAGGGAATGGCAGAGAGTCCATTGAACGACGCGGAGCTTCGCGAGTCTAAAGTGTAGACTCGCCATTATTGGACTCATTTTGTTTTACCTTCATTCCATGCCCCAGCAAGATATGAGATAAGCACAGGTTTTGGCATTCATCTGTTCATTCGGCACAGGCTTTCCGTCACCTGATTCTATTTTTTCACAAAATATGTTCAATTTTTGGTCTCTTTTTAATGTCTGAAAGGAATTAATAATGAAGTTTAGGATGAACCAGTTGTTGATGGTTGTAGAATACTTGTATATGCATTTCAGTATCAGTACTGAGAAAAAGTTCAATTAATGAATGCTTTATTTCTTTTTTCACTTTAGCAAAACCATTTCCCTCCCTTTTCCCACATTTTCTCGTTCACCAAACAAGTTGATTCTGTGAAGATACTGGGGGTTTTGACTTCAATCTTTGCTACTGACAATATAATATTTCAGCCAACTTAAAGATGAAAACTGACCTAATCAATTTTGTAATTGCCAGTCTTCGCCCTTTAACATGAGTTCGTCACTGGTCAGTGTCCAGTTAGTTATGAAATTTGCTTGACACTCAGCTGTCTAAATTCTTTATTGGTCTAAAAGTAACAAATAAATCAATAAACAAATAAAAGAGTCCCACTGTTATTATTTTATCACTTTGCGGCTTTTGTTTTTGTCGAAATCACTTTGCGGTTTGCTTATAGTCACATTGTTGATCACATATCTTAATAAATACAAAAAAGATAAGAAGATAAATTCGTGTGGAAATCATTTATATAAACAGATTTAAGAGAAATGTAACGTGGTGTACAAATCAAAGTTACACGCCATTTGCATCCATGGCATGTTTTGGTGTTGAGTAGAAAAGCTTATTTGTGAAAATGGGAATTGCCCATTTCATCTGCACTGATGGTGTCCCTTTCTGGATGCACATTTAGTTGTGAAATCACCATTATTGGTGAGAGAATATTGCAAGAAAGAAACACTATCTCTATCCTCTGCAACACTCTGCATGGGTTCTTTAGCTTGATCCAAGAAAAGACAGAGGAACTTGATAAGGTACAGGTAAGTGTATGTCTTTCTCTTTCATGCTGTTCATTAGAAAAACAACTTTGCAACTTGCAATTTCTTGCTTGCTTAACCTATCTCAGAGAAAGAGTAATTAAAAATAGAAATTTGATTATGATATCTAATCCAATTACTTCAACCTTTTACAAGAAATGTACTAGATTCATGCACTGAAAAGTTGCAATGGAGAAGGCTAGAGTTACATTCCACTTTCAATCAACAGGGAAGAAAGAGACAACGATGAAGTGGATAGCAAGTTTAGATTTTAGATTTGTCAACTTCTAAAGAGAGATAAAAACGTGCACAGAGAGAAAGGTATGAATTGATTAGAGATTGAGAAGGAAGCTTTTCAGAGATAAAGGTATCCAAAAAGGATTGGAATGATTTCTTATCAAATATCTCGACATACTATGTTGTCAAACCGTAAATCGTAACCACATGTTATACGTTATTCGATATAATCTGAGGTCCTAATAATCGTAGTGTGTGAATATAACGTGTTAAATTACTGACAAGAAAAACTTACCATATCTAAACACAATAATAAGGGATTATGTACACAAATATTAGTCTGCATATTGTTCCTATTTTTTTTTTTGGGAGTGTGTGTGTGTGTGATAAGATTCTCCGTAGTGAAATGGTGGACAAATAAATGTCAACATGGGGTTTTAATAATCCCTATCCCAATTGTACTTAAATTTGATTCGTGATCATTAATATGTAATATTTAATAATTATTAGGAGATGAGTGAGAGTAACATGCTGGTTGCTGAGAGGGAGACAGCAAAAGCGAAAGAAAGCAATATGAAGCCTGCAGGCAATATCATATGCCAGCCTTCCCTTTTCATGATTTATAATGCATGTTTTGCCTGTCTTTGTTATAAAAACTCAACCCTACTCCACTTGGGCTCTGAGGGAGGTCATTAAGTGAGAAGTGCTGCACTAAAAGTAAATTTAAAAAAAATAAATAAATTAAGCATCTTGAGTGGTGGATGATCAGCTTGGAAATCAAGTTTAAATGGAGATCAAGGAGAGAAAATCGCCGTTTACGGTATGTAATGTAGGAGCATGGAGCATGACCGTTGTGAGCTCGGTGGGGATTATCATGGCCAACAGGCAGCTCATGTCCCCTCAAGGCTTTGCCTTCGACTTTGGTTGGTTCCACATCCTCTTCTTCTTTAACAACATGGAATGAGTTAGTGTCCTACAACATGATTATAAAACCTTTAAACAGGTTCATTGTTTAATTATGCTATAGCTTTCTTTTTGGTACAACAAATGCACTTTGATTGATCCCTCTGGTGGTTCACATCATCATATTACATGTGCATGGAGAGGTCAATAAGAAGTTATTACAACATTTTGAACCCTATAATCAGCTAATCAAATTAAAACGATGTGTTATTTGACAACCGATCATAATAATTGATGTAACAAGTAAACATCGGCGCATAAGGTAACACTACTCAATGAGGATCGCTAATGGCCGCAGTACAAGTGGACTACAAAACACCATTTTATAAGATGAACTCCTCTTTTTTTTTTTGCTATCATGTGATAAACATGATTGAGTCTTTTGGTAATTAAAATGGTTTGCTGCAATTGATGTTGGTGTATTCTTTGCAGCTACAATGTTGTCTAGCTTCCACTATTCTCTGACCGCATTGGTGTGTTTGGTGTCAAATGCCGTTGGTTACTCTGCATCAACGCATGTAATTCCTCTGTGGGAGCTTATTCTGTTCTCAGTTGTAGCCAATGCCTCAATCATTGCGATGAACTTCAGCCTCATACTAAACTCTCAAGGATTTTTCCAGGTGCATATAATTTGTTTGGTCCTAAATTACACCTTCTTAATTGGTATAGGCGAATGCTAAGTACAATTGTTCACACGCGCATGGACGATTGTAAGCCATTATTAATTATCAGAGGTTCTAATTGGAATTGGCAATCGGTATTATGATGCAGATATCTAGGTTAAGCATAGGCCTGTGGTATGTGTGATGGAATGGATTCTTCATGGAAAACAATTTTCAAGGGGGGCAAAGATGGCTGTGGTAATGGTGGTTGTAGGTGTGAGTATCAGTACAGTGACTGATGTGAAAGTTAATGCTAAAGGTTTCCTCTGTGCTTGTGTGGCTGTCTTGTGTACATCCTTACACCAAATTGTGTGTATTAATTACTCAAATTCCTCCTTCATTTGGATTATTAGTTTTCTAAGAATGTGACACTAACTTGGTTTTTTTTTTCCTTTGAGGAACAGTTAATAGGGTCTTTACAGAAGAAATACTCAATAGGGTCTTTTGAATTGCTCACTAAGACAACTCCAATGCAAGCTCTCTCCCTTCTTTTTCTTTCTCCATTCATTGATTTCTATCTCACCGGCAAACTTCTATCAAACTATAAGTTCTCTTCTGGTGCATTTGTAAGTCAAGCCGATGCTTCTTATGTTTTGTCCCTTAAGTTTCATTTGCAGCACATTTGATCTTTAATCTTTAAAAGTGCTTTTGTGAATGTGTTTGCAGATTTTCTTGCTACTCTCATGCTCAATAGCAGTGTTTTGCAAAGTCAGCCTGTACCTCTGCATCGGGCGGTTCTCAGCGGCCTCATTCCAGGTTTTAGGCCACATGAAAACCATATGTGTCATGACATTGGCGTGGCTACTCTTTGATTCAAAGCTCAGCCTTAAAAACTTTCTTGGGATGGCTCTTGCTGCTATGGGCATGCTAGCTTACACTTGGGCTGTGGAGGCTGAGAAAGAAGCTACTAATTCCAAGAGCCTCCGTAATAGAAAAGACAAAATGTCAGGAGAGGTTATGAAACCATTGACTTCCACATAGGTTTCCATTTTCTGAGGGCAAAAATTATTTTATGGGACTATTTACCTTTCATTCTTTGCCATGACAGGAAACGAGATAAGCACAGGCTTTTAATCAGCTAATTCTATTTATTTAAAGCAAATGTTGTGTGTTTTCTCTACTGATTTTGGGCAGACAGTAAAAACTATGATGTTTTAGGCTGAATTGGTTATTGATGGTTGTAAATATTTGTATATATTTATATTCATTGTATTCTTGAGGAAAGAAGCACAATGGTTTTCTCCATTTAGTGAGTTGTAGCCGATATTTGGATGAGTGACAGTTGATACTTTCTACTTATGGAAAAGAACCCATCTTTCTTTTTTTTCGGCAGTTGGTTATTGAATGTCTTACAAGAAAAAAAAAACTAACAAAACCGATATCAAACCCAAAATTATGTCGAGACATAAATATTCGAACTTGAGGTATCTGTCAATATTAGGAAGAAAAATGTGACTATTAGTTATTCAAAACTATATTATTTTTCTAACCTTAGTTAAATCAGCAAAATCACCACAATAAAAATAATATTAGCACATAAATCAAACAAAAACATTGTTTTTAATATAAAAAGTGAGAAAAATATTATTTTCTAAGAATAATAATTTATTTTATGAGAGGTTTATCCATTTGTTATTGTACTTGGACTGAACAGCTAGCTAGCTCCACTGTCTAGCTAATGGGAGGTTTGGACTGTATATGGCGTTTCCCCAACACCCAGTTTCATTGCCATTTGTGTTCCCTGGCCTCTCCTCCTCCATCTTCCCCATCGCCGAGAAAAACCTTCCTTTTATTCTCTCCTTCATCAAACACCAAAATCAGCAGCAACAGCAGAAATGCTGGAACTGTTGCCTACACAGCAAACACTAGAACCAGAAGGCGTAGCAAAAATGGCAGAGCTCTCACTCTCAGACCTCCTCTCTCCCTCCCTCAAAATCAACAATCCCAACAGCAGCAACAACAACAAGACGATGATGACGAAGAAGAAGATGAAAATGAAGATGAAGAAGAAACCATAGCCCAAGGCCGTGGCCGTGGGAACTGGACAATAGTGTTGTCGTCGAGCTTAGTGGGTCTGCTCACTGGAATTGGTGTCGTGCTCTTTAATTACGCTGTATGTTTTTCTTTACCCATTACCCATTTGTGCATTTTTGCTTTTCATGCTTGCTTGCTTACAAAGTTTTGAGCTTTATCTGAGATTGCAAAGTTTTAAGCTTTATCTGAGATTTTGATATGAATGTTAAGGTTCATGAGATACGTGATGTGTTCTGGGATGGGATACCACAACGAGGAGCTTCGTGGCTCAGAGAGGAGCCAATGGGAGATATGTGGAAGCGAGTGATTCTGGTTCCAGCTTCTGGGGGTTTGATCGTAGCCATGTTAAATGTGCTTCGAGGTGCTCTGGATGATGGTTCAGAAGATAATAACAATGGCAATGAGCAAGGAGAGGAAGAAAAAGAAAGTTTATTGGTGAAAATCGGAATGCCCATTTCGGTTTTTCATAGTCTCAAGGCTGCATCGCGTCCATTTCTCAAGGCAGTTGCTGCTGGTGTCACACTTGGGACTGGGAATTCATTAGGTCCTGAAGGTCCTAGTGTTGAGATTGGAACTTCTATAGCAAAGGGTGTTGGTGCTGTATTTGGTAAAAGTTCACAAAGAAGCCTCTCTCTTGTGGCTGCTGGATCAGCTGCTGGAATTGCTTCTGGTGGGTATTCGTTTTTATGTTTCTCCATGCTGCAAGTTATTAACATATGTTTGCTCTCAATGTAATTGTTCTTCTGACATTTTTCAGGGTTTAATGCTGCTGTTTCTGGTTGTTTCTTTGCCGTTGAGTCAGTCCTTTGGCCGTCACCATCAGATTCCTCATCTATTTCACTAACAAATACCACTTCTATGGTCATACTTAGTGCTGTGATAGCTTCTGTAGTTTCAGAAGTTGGTCTTGGCTCTGAGCCAGCCTTTAAGGTCCCATACTATGACTTCCGCTCACCTACTGGTATACTATCGATTATCTGTTTAACTCTTGAAAATGTTATAGATAAATTTCTGCACCCTCGAGTGAACAAAAACTGGTGCTTTTGATTTGAATAATTTCTTCTGCTGACTATTGCATTACTACATAATCTATGAGTATTTCTTGTTCCTAGTAATGTGATTTTTCTTTTCCAAATATGGTTTGTGAGTTTACCCTATTATTTGTTACAACACTAGGTTGTTCACTCTACTGGGATGAATTTTTTCAGGCATACCTTTAGTATATCTAGAGGTAGATGTTCAAGTTATTATTTAAAAGGTGCGGTTTTAACAGTGAGACGTATTCAAATCATTTTCAGAGCTTCCGCTATATCTCTTGCTGGGTGTCCTATGCGGCTTGGTTTCGCTAACCTTATCAAAGAGCACATCATACATGTTGGTATTTGTTGACAATCTTCACAAGACTATTGGCGTACCAAGATTTTTGTTCCCTATACTGGGTGGCTTAGCAGTCGGGCTTATAGCATTGGCATATCCTGAAATTCTTTACTGGGGTTTTGAGAATGTTGACATTTTGCTGGAATCTCGACCACTTGTGAAAGGCCTCTCAGCTGATCTATTGCTTCAGCTGGTAGTGGTCAAGATAGGTGCAACCTCTTTGTGCCGGGCGTCTGGATTAGTGGGTGGCTACTATGCTCCATCACTTTTTATTGGTGCAGCAACAGGAATGGCATATGGGAAACTCATCAGTTCTGCAGTTGCTCAGTCCAATCCTATACTTCATCTCTCCATATTGGAAGTAGCATCACCGCGAGCATATGGCCTGGTATGCTCTATGCCACTTTTGTATCTAGAAGATAGTTTGCCTTCAAATTTCTGGCAATGGTCAACTCGCATTTCATATTTTTTGTATATGAATTCTGTTTTGATATTTCTGAGAACAAAAATCACATTTGAATTAGGAGGTCACTTTATGTAGTTAACTAGAAACCTACAATATTAGCCATCGGCTTCAGGGACAAAAACCTTTTTCTTTGCAGCAGTAGGTTTTGTGTGCCCTGCTTTTTTATTAGAAGGTTAAAGTCAGTTGTCTAGTTGGTTCTAAATTGTCAAATGGTTTTGAAAATTGACATGGACAGTACATGAGATAACTTTTCATTGTAATACTATGTAATAATAAAGACAGAAAAGCCTAACTTTCTGTGTGAATATATTATTTCTCTGTTTGGAATTCTCTGCTGAAATTTGAAGCTATAACGGGTAGTCAAAATCAGGTTGTGGTTGACCATAGGAGAGGTTCCTTTTACAGGTTGGAATGGCTGCTACTCTTGCAGGAGTCTGTCAGGTACCCCTTACGTCAGTTCTGCTGCTTTTCGAATTGACACAAGATTATCGAATTGTTCTTCCGCTACTTGGAGCTGTGGGGTTATCTTCATGGATCACATCTGGACAGACAAGGAGAAAAAAAGATAGCTGGAAGAGTAAGAAACTCAATCAGGGAAAAACTAGTAGCTTTCAACAACCTGAAGTACCTTCCCCTAGTGCAAGTGGGCTATCTTCTAGTAATGCTTTCACTGAAAGGACGTCTAACGCGAGTGACCTTTGTGAAATTGAAAGTTCACTCTGTATAGATGATTCTAATATTGACACTGAAAAGTTGGAAAAGAGAATATTCGTTTCTGAAGCCATGAGGACGAGATATGTGACTGTTTTAATGGACACTTTGCTTACAGAAGCAGTGACTCTCATGCTTGCAGAGAAGCAGCCCTGTGCCATGATCGTTGATAATGATCATATTCTAATTGGTTTACTGACACTTAAAGACATTCAAGAGTACAGCAATAAATATGCACAATCAAGAAGACAGAGACCCAAGGTAATGGATTATTGTCTTGCTGAACTACTGCTAATTTTTACGTTTTTGTGGCCTGTGAGCTTGAATGACTGGTTGTACTGTTACAGGAGCTTATAGTATCTGAAATGTGTTCTTCGGATGGGGAAGTATGCCAAGTACCATGGACTGCTACACCCAGTATGAATCTACTTTCAGCTCAGAATATTATGAATAGGTATGGAATGAATCAAATTCCAGTTGTTACAGAGCATGTTCAAGGTCACAGAGGGCACCTAGTTGGCCTTTTAGACAGAGAATGTATCAGTCTCACTTGCAGGTACCAACATTTTTCTTTGCCGTTATAGACTCTCTCATTTATTTGCTTCAGTTTTGCATTACTATTTGCGTACGGAGGATTGCATTAAAATCAAAGTTTGACATAGAAATTCTCATTAGTTTGCTAATTTTCTGATTTTGTACTTGTTTTTTTCCTTTGGTGGTTGCAGAGCTCTAGCAACCAGAGAATCCCTTGGCTGGTAGTAACCAATACTGGATGGCTTGATTTGTTGATAAACCAGAATACCTGACATCATATTTATCTTTCAGTCTTTAGTAATACGGTCTCAGGACTCTCAAACTTAGCCTGGACAGATACAACTCAGGTGAATCTCAGAGTGCTGCCTTCGACCTCCCCGTGCCACACTCAACATAGTCTTTCGTTTGCTACTCAGCCGCTGAAAAGGGCTCGAAGTCGGAAATCTAAGATCAGTCAGGTTGTACTGACTGGATACCTACAAATTTACATACAACTGATGGAAATACTAGTGACAATATTCATGAGAAGAAAAACCAAGTCATTGGAACTGATACTGTCAAAATTGGATTTTCCCTTTTACCAATTTGCCTTGTAATTTAGACTTACTGGCTTTGTTCCAATAACGTACATGTTATTCAGGTTTTCTTCTTGGCCCTCAGGCGTTTGTTATCACTCCAATTGTCAATAAAAAGTGAAAATTCTTTTGAGTAAGGGTAATTGAAATGGCATTTCTTGACATAAATCAGGTTTTATGGTACAATAATACGATTGCTGTTCCATGCCTTCCCCTCAATTCAATAATTAAAAATGGATCTACAAGTACAAGAGGCCAAATTTGGATACAAGTTTACTTCCAATTGCTACCCTAATCTGGACTCATCCATAAATCAAGCCTAAAGTTAGAATGACTTTGCTCGTGATAATCGACCAAAAAAAGAAAATTGGTCATGATAAGATTTATATCTGATCAGCAGGCTTATTCAGAGTCTCTTGTTCAACCTTCACACTCAGTTCATCCGCAGACCCAGAGCCCATATCCAAAGCCTGCAAATATCAATGCCGACAGGAAAAACCATTAGTTCATGAGCATTTTTATATCAAGTGTGTCCTGCTTTTGTCTGTGGACTTGTGTGTTTAACTTCACCTTTGCGCCTGTTGTAATCTCTTCTACTGCTGGATCATAGCCTGAGCCTCTAGCATTCTCTGTGCTTCCTTTCTGGCTCCCCGGTACATCATGCCAACCAGAAATACAAAATTGTTGAGGCAAATAAACATAACAAATAGGATCTAAACTGTTCAATGTTGTGAATCTACAATCCCAGCATTTATCGCGTACAAATGCAGAAAGAATATGACATACGTTGTCATACAAGAGGATATAAGCCACATGCATATGTAAATTTTGAAATGTAGCACAACAAATGATATGAGCACATCACAAGAACATAGTCATGCTACGTGCAGGACATAAACATATAAGCATAAACAGAAAAAAAAAAAAAAAATGGTCATGCCATGTCGTCTTGAACATAGTCATACTTCTCATTCAAAAGAGATAAAAAGGGAACAGTACTAATCCAGTGTTGGCTTCACATAACATCATATCAGAAACAGGATAATAAAGGGAAGAATAAGAAACACTACTAAGAGACAAGAATTCCTCATGTTTCCTTGCCATGAGTGAAAAGTCTAGCCACTTGTCCGTCATCAAAGACAATGAGAACATTTTACTATGCATAAACTTTAACATAGGAATATTCAAGACTAGACAAATGAATTGATTGCCTGATTTCACTGAATTATAGTTTATATGCTTCCGCACCCAATTTACAAAAGAGTTTGTGAGATGATTTGTAGCATACCGGATCCTTAACCTCAGTTTCAACGATCTCTTTCTTTACTCTGCTTGATAACGGCTTACTGTATAAAACCATAAATCAGAATATTGCAAAGATGAAAGTGCAAGATAATGATAGTAAATTAAGAGAAGAAATTCAAATACCGTTCATCATCAACATCCATATCAGAATCCGCATCCCATCTCTCGTCTCCGTCTTCCTGGTCTTCATCTGCCTACAGGATTTTTAACAAAAAAGAAATTTCAAATACCGATTACAAGCCTATAAAAATATTAAGCAGATAACAACTCAAAATAGATTGATGTGAACTAGCAAGCTACATTCATCATACAAAGATTGAAGAATAGTAAGAAAGATGGGAGCTTTGGGGCAGTTTAGATACACAACTTTTTCCTTTGGATCATCACTACATTCAATAGAGTCTATGAGCTGTTCATCAAGTATTCTATCACTTAAGCAACAATAAATGCCACATTAGAGGAAGGAGAGGGAAAATATATTAATGTCAAAATGTCTGCTTGATGGCCATTTAGAAAAGAATAATTTCGGAGTCTTCTGCTTTGGAAGAATTTCTCTTTGGAGTCAGTGGGGGTACCAGTTCCAGCTTGTTCTGTGATTTTAAGTTCCCATTGTTTACCACAAAATTGCATATAAGGAAGCTGGAGAACAACATTTTTCTATTATAAGCTACTTATTTAGACATTATACAAAAGAAACCCTCATTCACTTAGCCGTATCATGTAAAATGAGAACAAAGAACAATAATTTCCTACGATAAGTCAAACAAATCAATATAGAAGAATATGTTTCAATAAGATGACTATTAAGTTTTGATGAATATAGAAGATGGAAAATGGAATTAGTTCTGAAAAAAAAAAAAAAATTGTTGAACAAAAGTACCTCTGGAAGCTCAGTATCAGGAGGTCTTTCATGAAATTGGACACTGGGTGCATGCTGAAGCCTGGAGAGGTTTTCAAGAAGCTTAGACCGTATTTCTTCCAGTAACACATGAGAATTCTTATTTTCCATGTTACTAGGGGCAACATGAAGGGTATAATCTGGGCCAAAATACTCATAATACTCATGCTGTGGCATTTTGTCCTCAATTTCTGCTCCAAGTGCAACTCCCGTCTGTTTTACAAACCACAAATTCAGATCAAAAGTATTCAGTCAAGACTCAAGAGTTAAAAATAAATAAACTGTGCCAAATATTGTAAGCAGAAATTACAGATGTTACACCAATGGCCATGTGTAAAAGAGTAATCATCTGCCGGACTATAGGCATATTATTCAATCACATAACACAACATGCATATTATTCAACCACATAACACAACATACTCTCTGGTAAGAAATTATTACTCATATGTTAAAAACCATGTTGTTTGTTCAGCATAATCACGTCACATGGAATAGTTTGAACACCTTAATAAATAAAACAAAATACAAGAAGAGTACCTCATAGCACCAGCAACGAGCAACATTCCGAATAGTATAGCCACCGCCACCTAGAAGCAAGAGTGGGACATTGAAGGATCTCATATATCTAACACACTCGGCATGACCTTTGATGGAAAGGTTGAAGCAGCCAAGCCTGTCCCCAGATAAAGAATCAGCACCACACTGGAGAACAACAGCACCAGGTCTAAAAATTTCCATCACCTTCCCAATGATGGGCTTGAACAAGTAATGGTAGCTCTCATCATCAATCCCATCGTCCAATGGAACATTAAGGGAGTAATACTTCCCTTTCCCGTACCCAATATCGCGAATGTCTCCTGTGCCTGGGAAATAATCCCCAAACTTATGAAATGAAACCGTCATGACCCTGTCCGTAGTGTAAAACGCCTCTTCAACACCATCTCCATGGTGAATATCAATGTCCACATACAAAACACGCTGTTTGGTAAAACATCAACAATTTCAATAACCCATTTCAGAAATTCACAAAACAAATCTAACCCAACATGAAAAAAGTCAAAACCTTTAGACGATGCAATTAGATAAACTAACCTCATGCAGCTTAAGAAGCTCCAAGATTGCAAGCACAATATCATTGACATAGCAAAACCCAGAAGCCTCACACTTCTTAGCATGGTGCAAACCACCAGCCCAATTGATAGAAATGTCACAGAAGCCATGGTTGAGTTTCACAGCACCACCAACAGAGCCACCAGCATAAGTCTGGCAAAACGAATACAACCCATCAAAGACAGGGCAGTCCTCACCCACATTGAACCGCTTGAGTTGCCTCAGCTGGTCCTGCTGCGTTTCGGGGGTGATGTTTCGGAGAAACGAAACGTAATCGTCGGCGTGGAAGCGGCAGAGGTCCCGGTCTCGGGCCGGGTAGGGTTTGAGGACCTGCATATGTTGCAGAAGACCGTAGTGGGCGAGAAGGGCATGGGTCATGCGAATCCGGTGAGGCTTCATCGGGTGCCCTTGGCCATAATAGTAATTTCCCACTTCTGGGTCGTAGAAATAACTCACCTTTCTCTTCACTCCGTCTGGACCCGACGCTAAAGAGTTGCCGCCGGTGTCCATCTTCAGCCAAAAACCAGAGCTTTTTTCAGCCAAAAATCAGAGCTTTTTTTCAGCCAAAAATCAGAGCTTTTTTTCGGCCAAAAATCAGAGCTTTTTTTCAGATTAGTTTTTTGGGTTGTGGGTTTTTAAATCGGCGGGTAGGGCATCAAACGAAATTAATTTGCTTTTATAAAGTTTGTTTACTTATATATGCTTTATATAACAGGAAAAGGAGATAGCTTGGTTTAAATTGAATTTGAGAGAGAGACAGAGACAGAGACAGAGAGAGAGAGAGACAGAGAGAGAGAGTTACCTGGTTGATGTTTTGTGCGCTGCAAAGACAGAACAAGAAGAAGTGCTTCTGTTTGTTCTTTGTTGTTCCCTCCTCCTAAATTCGTAGGTTGTTGGTCTTCTTGTATTTAAAGTGCTCTAACCAAGTGGGAGTAGGAAGTTTGGAGATGCTTCTTCTAGCCTTGTATCAAAGAGTTTACTTGCAATTTAAAATAAATAATTTTTTTTGGGGTTCTAATATTTGTACTTTTCATATGTTGGTAAATAAAGGAGGGTGAGTTAGAATTTTTAGGTTAAAATTGCACTATGAAATGAAAGTATGAATATTTATTATTTTTTGCCTCCAATGATAATAAGGACAAGTAGAATACCATCCATTAATATTACTTTCTTTGAAAATCTGGCTTATATCTTATTACTATTAGTTGTTCCTTTTCATGTTTCTTTTCAAGGAAATTAATTTGTTTTCTTTTTTCAAAAATATGGGTTTTCCATATTAATAGAAAACGACTTTTTCAGTGAAAAACAAAGAAAGAAAAGGTCTTTAGAAGTGTCCGGCCCAATAAATAAATGGACTGTATTTCAGCGAGCAATGGACCTAGAAAATAGGAACCTGGCCTTTTAGAGCAATGAGGCTTGAAATTCCTTCTTGGGTTGATGAGCGCGGTCTTAAGGACAAATGTGAAACCCCGGTCAGAGAGGAGCCTTGGCATTAATGACCAGTTGGGGAGTTGAGAGAATAGTAGTACAAGCGATAGTCTAAATTATAAGGAAGGGAGTTTCGATCTTGAGACTTCTAGTCTGCAAGTTAAGGCCATTTTCCACTGGGTTAACGGCCTTCAGGGTGGTGTTTGCCAACAAATAAGCTGTGATTGCTCTCTTTGATTCATTGTTATATTGTATCAGAGGGATCAAGAAAATCTAGACCAAAGAATTAATATGGAGGTTGTGGTGCAAGAATGGCATGGGACTTCAGCACTTTTGCCTGACTTGCCTAATTCCAACCACAGCTGAAGGTTGAACCATTACACTTATGCTTTTGACTTTGTGTACTTCATAAAGAATAAGATTTACTAGACCACGAGCATAGGATGGCTTACCTTCTCCCATTCATACTCTTGGAACCCCCAACAGTTATTACATGTATACATTCCTTATAAAATCTGGTGGCCAAAGGGGTTCTGTGCACTGAAGCACTGCTTGATTTGAAGGGGATGGATCAGAAACTTGAGTCGGGCAAAGTATGCGTTACCGGGGCATCTGGCTTTCTGGCATCTTGGCTTATTAAACGACTTCTCTTGTCTGGCTATCATGTAACTGGAACTGTTAGAGACCCAGGTAACCCCCAAGTTAAAATCTGCATGAAGTAGAGATTGCATTCTTTTTATGGGACAAATTTATATATTGTTTTATAAGACTATGGTCATCTGGTTTATACATGCATTCAAAGGAAACCAGAAGAAATTGGCGCATTTGTGGAGGCTGGATGGAGCTAGGGAAAGGCTCAGATTGGTGAAGGCTGATTTAATGGAAGAAGGCAGCTTTGATGATGCAATCTTGGGGTGCCATGGTGTCTTCCACTCTGCTTCCCCTGTACTGAAACCTTCATCTGATCCAAAGGCATGTTTGAATATATTATATGTCCTTAAAATTAAGGGTAACTTTTTCTTGTCATATATTTGGGATGCCATGTTGCCAAATTCTCAATGTGGATCATATATTCAAACAAAAGATCCACCTTATCATTTGTTCATATTCTAGCAAAATTGCATACAAAATATCCGGCAAGGGATCACAATTGACCTAAAATTAATACCACTCACACAAATTGAGTATTGTTGTAACTATTATGTGTCATCTGTGCACAGACAGAAATCCTGGAACCAGCTGTTGAGGGTACATTGAATGTGCTATGTTCGTGCAAGAAAAATCCGTCTCTAAGGCGTGTGGTTCTCACCTCGTCTTCTTCAGCTGTAAGGGTGTTGCATTCCTAATAGGACACAAATTAATGTGCAAACAACCAATTAAAAATACCCGCAAGTGCACGAATCTATCGAAGTATAGATTATGTAAGTACGGGGTCGATCCCACGAAGAACTTGTCGGCTTCCTATAAGTTCTAATTTGAGTACATAAAGAACACTTATTTAACACACCACAAATGCACAAATGAAAGAGGGAAACTAGAAATGAGTAAAGAAGTGTAAAAGAAATGGAACAACACAAGAAAACTAGAGAAAAACACAAACATCACTTTCTATCACCCTTTTATCACCATTTGGACAGATTCGTTTCTCTATTTTTCCAGTTTCGACCTCTGTCCAGTGTTTTGCCTATAACTTTCCAACCGTACGTCCAAAATTCACGTTCTTTATACGGTT